TTCAATATTAGCAGATCATCGTGTGGGGGTAATCGTTAGGATTGGGGATTGTCATTGCTTGTACTAGGAATTATGATTACTTGCTCTTAATTTTCGTGATTGAGTACTTATATTTGGATAAATTAGCGTATTGTGCTTTGTGATAAAATTGTCGTGAAATTCCGTTTGATTGGATATACCTATTTTGTTGCATCGTAAATTTCGCTGTGTTGTTACTTCCGTTAGAATACCTAGACCTTACCCGTTCGAACGTTCCTTTGATCTAAGACCACGAGTCTTACGAAATCCTGGGAATCTAGGACAGTGTATATTGCAGCCATAGGATTACTTTGTGTGACCTATTTGTGCATTTGATTGCTTCGTTTTTCCAAAAATGTCTTCGCATTTCAAAGTTGGTATTTTTAATGGAAAAGGTAATTTTTCAATTTGACAACAAAAAATGAAGGGTATTTTGGTCTAACAAAATGTTTCAAAAGCTATTGAAAGCAATTTTTCAACTAATTTTTCAAAAGAACAAAAAGAAAAAGTCGATGAGCTTGCTTATACCTCAATCATTTTACACCCGTCTGATGTTGTTTTGAGAAAAGTAGGAAAATTGAAAACCACAAAAAATCTTTGGAAAAAGTTGGAAAATCTGTATTTGCTTAAATCCATTCTCAATAAACTTTATCTTCTTGAGCGTTTCTTCAATTTTAAAATAGATCATTCAAAGGATCTTGATGACAATTTGGATATTTTAAATAAACTTGTCCAAGATTTTGTTAACTGTGAAGAAACCATATCTGAAACTTGTAAGACTATTATCTTGCTTAATTCCATGCCTGACTCATATAAGGAAGTTAAAAATGTCATTAAGTATGGTAGGGATATGTTGACACCTGAAATTGTCATAATTTGCTTAGGAGTAAAGAGATGGAAATTAAGGCTGAAAATGAAGATAATAGTAGTAATGAGTTACACATAATAAGGAGTGAGATGAAGTTTAAACAAATAAATTTGGATAGAGCTCAAAATAGTGGTGATTCNTTTTTCAACTAATTTTTCAAAAGAACAAAAAGAAAAAGTCGATGAGCTTGCTTATACCTCAATCATTTTACACCCGTCTGATGCTGTTTTGAGAAAAGTAGGAAAATTGAAAACCACAAAAAATCTTTGGAAAAAGTTGGAAGATCTGTATTTGCTTAAATCCATTCTCAATAAACTTTATCTTCTTGAGCGTTTCTTCAATTTTAAAATAGATCATTCAAAGGATCTTGATGACAATTTGGATATTTTTAATAAACTTGTCCAAGATTTTGTTAACTGTGAAGAAACCATATTTGAAACTTGTAAGACTATTATCTTGCTTAATTCCATGCCTGACTCATATAAGCAAGTTAAAAATGTCATTAAGTATGGTAGGGATATGTTGACACCTGAAATTGTCATAATTTGCTTAGGAGTAAAGAGATGGAAATTAAGGCTGAAAATGAAAATAAGAGTAGTAATGAGTTACACATAATAAGGAGTGAGATGAAGTTTAAACAAATAAATTTGGATAGAGCTCAAAATAGTGGTGATTCGAGTAGCGACTCGAGTGATGAAAGTGGTAAGATGAAGGACAAGGGACATGACAAGTCTAGTGGTAGAGTTGTGGTAAGTCTGGACACTTTATTAGGGATTGTCCCAAGAAGAAGGATAAGCAGAAAAGTTATGTGAGAGGTGAGACGAATGTGGTTGAGGGGTCGAGCTATGACCCCAACGAGGTTTATTGAGAGAGTAAACCTAGTTACTGCATATGCATCTGTGTGTGATCTTTTCTCCATGTATGTTATTGCCTAATTTAATGCATGACTATATGTTGCACTTCAATTTGTTTGATATGTATGTTTGCATGACTTTAAGGTAATGTGATTTCTTGGTGTGATCGTTTGCATGCATAGTGTGTTAGGATGCATTAGCAGTGTGTTAGATGTCTTTTGGTAAGGTGAAGTGTAAATGCCTAGGGGTACATTGTGGTTTGTACCGGGGATGTGGAGTGACATTTGGATCACGAGTGGAGATGTGATCAATGTCTGGAATCCTTTATCTGTGAAAGAGACTTTGTACAGGTGGAGTGTGAGAGAGACACTTATATCACTTCTGCAAGGTGGAGGCCCATTATTCACGTAGGTTGGGAGAAGTGATGTGGTGATAGAGGATTATCTCGAGAACTTAGGATCTATTGTGACTTGCCAGTTAGACATGAGTCGAGTGATCTGTTTAGTGAGGATGGTAGACGATGAGAGGAGATATGTGTTCTTGAGGTGAGAGTAACATGAAATAGGATAGGATAAGTGTGGTGACATCTTTCGTTAGGTCATTTATGCATTTGTTGCATATGTGTTTGACCTTGTGCTGATTAATTTGGTGTTCATCTATGGTTCTGTGTGAACTTGATTTTCTTAAAAGATCTATGTAGTATCCTATATAATATCTTCATTGCATTATTATTTGTTCACTGTGACATTTGTTCCTACTTGGGTGTTTTTGGGACCTTAGCCCCGATGAGTATATGGAACAGGTATGGTGTGTGTTTCGATTCGAAACACGAGGTAATGTTTGTTATACCAATTTTATTGGATTACCTTGATTGTGCAAGTTTAAACTGTGTTTTGGTTGCTTGCAAATTATTGGGTATCAATGTGGAGATTGTTGGATTTTTTTATACCCAATAATCCCCGGTGATGATGTTAAGCCGATTTTGGATAAATCAATTATCGATACCCAAGATTGAGGATCCGACCCTAAAACTATTTGGACCATTGGAAGCAACCTAATTAATTAGTGTTGCTCATGGCTCGACTTCCACACTCATTGGACGGCTTATATACGTTGCCCACTTAAATCTCATTGTATTGGACTTGGCCCACACTTTGACCAAACCTAGCCTATATATACTATCCTCCTTGGTCTCCTATGTTTTGAACATGTGTTTGCCTTTGTCTTGGAAGAAGAAACTCTTTGCCTCTTTCTCTCTCGGTTGATTTTCTTCCTTTCTTTCATAGCCTTTGTGGCTGGAAAACACCGTCCCTATTGTGTTCTTAGTGGGTACAAGGTAAAACAACCGGAGTGTAGAAGATAGATTGAGGTTTGGGCCGTCATTTGCTTGGGTGTTGTAAAGTTGAGATTGGTATACTGAGCCCCGAAAATCCACCAATTGGAGGTCGATTATTCAACACTAGTATATCAGATACGTTACCTACTTGGCTGTGGAATATGCCTTCTTTATCAAACTTGAATCTCTCTTCTAACCATATCAGTGGAGGAATTCCTCATCAATCTCCAAACTTCACTTGTATTTTGTATGTAGATTTGAGTTATGATAATTTTTCGGGTCCAATTCCATCATTTCTTTCTCATTTAATAAAATTAAAACTTTGCGAAAAGATGTTTTCAGGATCCTTTTTTCACTCGTGCACAACTTTCACTCACTTGAACTTGGAGGTCCTTGATCTCTCAGATAATCAATTGACAGGAGAGCTTCCCGATTGCTGGATGAACTCAAGTTCTTTACAAGTTCTCAATTTGGCAAACAATAATTTCTCAATTAAAATTCCCCCAACTTTGGGCCACAACCTTCGACTTCAGATATTACATCTGCGCAATAATAATTTCATTGGTGAACTACCTTCCTCTTTGAAGAACTGCACATGCTTGATGTGGGAGGAAACAATTTAACAGGAATTATTCCAGAATGGATAGGGACACACCTAACAAGTTTTACAGTTCTTAGCCTCTGATTTAATAAATTCCATGGATACATCTATAGATCCAACAATTTGTTAGCTTACCAATATTCAAGTCTTGGACCTCTCAAGGAATAATATATCGGTGGAAATTCCACAGTATTTCAACCATTTCACTTCTTTGGTTCAAAAGAATAGTTCAATGGAAGGCAATAGTTTTTATAAATTCTATACTTCTTCCTATCACTTTTACCTTGATACTTATGTTGACAATGCTTTGCTACAATGGAAAGGACGAGAGTCAGAATATAGAAAACTAGGAATTTTGAAAGGGATTGATCTTTCTAGCAATAAGATAGTTGGAACTATTCCTCGTCAATTTTCCGATCTAAGGGGTTTTGTTTTCTTGAACTTATCAAGAAACCATTTGACAGGGAATATCATTTCAAGTATCGGTCAAATGGAGATGTTGGAATGGCTTGACTTGTCTAGAAACAAGCTTTCTGGGAAGATCCCGAACAGCCTTGCAGAATTACATTTTCTCAATATTTTGGACTTATCATATAATAATTTGACGGGGATGATTCCATTAGACACTCAACTACAGAGCTTCAACACCCTGCATATACTGGGAATAGCCAATTCTGTGGGCTTCCTTTGGCAGTGTCCTAGAGATTCTCCTTACCCTTCTTCAATTGATCATGGCAAGGGAAACAATATTGAGGAAGATGACGAGTTTATAAGTCGAGAGTTTTATATCCACATGACGTTTGGCTCGTTAATTTGATCATTACTTTGCGAAAGTTAGTCTGGCTTGTTAATATCCTAATCTTTGTTTATGACTGAAATCAAGTGCCTCTTTTCAGAAACAAGAAAGTTTCAACTGTCTGTCAAACCAGTTGGTGGCTAGAGAGGAGGGGCTATGGATGAAGTTGTTTCTACTCTGATTAACACCAATGTAAAATTAATGTTTAATAGAGATCAAGTAAATTTCCCGATTAATTATTTGCTTTAGGGCATAAATCACTTCTTCAATTTAAAAATCCTTATAAAGGTAAAAGAAGGAAAAAAAAATGAAGAAGAAGAAAGAAATAAGCAAAGCTTGTTACCAATAACTACATGAATCAAGAGTATGGAAAAAGATATGGATACAAATACCTTCTGATGCTAAAAACAACCGTCTCTTACCATTTCCACCAAAATATGAAGACAAGACTTCAAAATTTGAGTAAAATTGAAAGAAAAGGTATTGATATAAAAATTATACCCCAAGCCTGGGGAAGAAGACGGATAGACAACCAGAGAAAAGCTGATATAAATGCTAAGAAAGCAATTGGTCCTCTTTGACTTTATAAACCTAATTCAGTGCTTAGTTTGTTTATAGAAACAACAATATTATTCATCATTCTCATATAACATAGTGCACATAAGTGAGTACATGATCAAAACACCTGAAATTCATGCTTATGACATTTTTAATCAGCCCAACAAAAGAGCTTTTATACTTATTGCAAAGGAAAACTCATAATTAAGATAGATTTTCTTCATAGTACAGGACCAAAATTCTTTTATTTATCAGCTAGAAGGGTAAGAAGAGTCAAGGATTCTTGCCACCTTTTCTTCCTCTTGAATCATGCTTGGGATTGGGTCCTGCGTAGTCATAATCTAGTGTGGCATCAACCTTTAGTAGCTTTCTTGGATTCACATGGACCTAAAAAACATGGAGCATAAGGATTATTTAGAAGAGTGGGGACTAACAGAGTGGAGTTAGAAGTGTCGATCATCATAAGAGCAAATAGAAAGCACGGTCGAAGCACCATCTTGTCCTTGATGAGCTTTGTGGTGAACTTGGCTGCCTCGATATACAAGAATGCAAACATATGAAAAGAATGTATAAACAGACTGTTAAGACTTAAGACCGACTCACATGGAGAGTGCCTGGTCGCCACCCCTCGTGAAGCAAGTCGACTTTGTTCACACCAATGCCAAAGCCCTGAATTGTACCTATATAAAGGGGAAAGAGTCAATAATTAGGAAATTGTGATGACAATTTGCCATGTATTTACATGATATATTTGTTATACAATATTGGATAAGATTGAAAGAAATGTCAACACAATGTACAAACCAAAGCATATAGTCAATGCACTAACAATGTAATATTACCAAAAACTAATAATTTAAGCAACGAGATAGGAATAACAATTTATATGACTTTTGTATCGATAACTTCAAAACAGGGTGATGCTATTTGTAGGGTTACAAATAACTACGTTATACAGTATCGCGGAATGGCTACAATTCTAACGAATATGGGTCCTTATGATTTTTTCTATTTGACTTAGGTTTAATTACCTGGAGACAGTAGGAACAAGAGTAAGAAGAGGGAAACTAGAAGAGAAATCTTAATCCTTAAACTCATGGCAGTGGTCATTGTATATACTATTATTATATAACCTGCCAAAACCTTTGAGTTTAAGATTACAAGGGGGAAGAGAGGGAAGTGGGTTCCTTTTATAGCCAGAAGTAGCATAAAGTGCCATGAGAACTGTATATACTGTTGTAATTGTGTTACCCACCATTATTATAATGGCAATTTTACTTTAGTCAGTTTTTTCTACTTTTTTATTATTATTTTTTTTTTTTTTGGGATGACAGGGAAAAAGTTGACAGATCTGAGATTTTCACCTCATAATTCATTAAATTCTTTTATCCCTTCTTCCACTAGATCTATCCCGATTAGTAACATGATTTCATGTTTCAATTGAACACTTCAATTATTAATTTTTTTCACATGAGAAGATTATTCTCCTTACCAAACATACGCAGATGGGATCACGATATTTCATTAAGCAATGTTTTAAATGTTTGACCGAGGTTTAACC